AAATCTACAAAGTTTATAAATTAAATCATGTAGGTGCCACTGAAAGTACCAGCCTACCATTTACCAGGGTCATCGATACCTGGGGGTTTTCAAAAGCTAAAACTGAGAAGCATTTCAGTGCTTGCATTCGAACCTGTAAAAATAAATGAACACGTTATTTAAATTTTGTAAGTAAAGATTTTAATGTCTCATAATCTAAACTCTTTTGAAGAAATAACTATTTAATCTGCTAGAGTACTAAAGGACAGACTCAGGGGAATAGAAATAAGACTGTCATATCCAAAGAGTTCAGGAAGTTAAAATTAATTTCCAAGTAATGAAATAGCAAAAATAGCAAAGTAGCAACTAAAATTGAACTAGGTAAGTCCCTAATCAAATTTAAAAGAACACTGTACAAAATGCAATGCTGGTAAAGCAAAGGGAACTTAATAATGATTACCAACCACCTTTCAAGTGGGACATTTCTTTGCAAACAACAAAAAACAGGGAATTGAAGGAGGAATCAAAAAAGAGCACTCTTGTAGTTCTATATGGGATGGGGACGGGAAAGGAAACAAAATTACAATAAAAGTTTGAAAAGGACTAAACTAATTTAACTTTTAACTAAAATATCTATAAATTGTACTACCATCCCTTAAAACCAGGTAACTGGTCTGGGATGACACCAAGGGCCCAAGCTCTTGGCCACATACACCATATTTTACAATCTGCAGGAGCTCCTATGGGAGCTCTTATTTCTTTAAGTCTTTCCGTTTAGGTTTCACCAGAGGATCTAATCCTCACTTCCATGGCTGAGCCTGTAATTTGATATTCTTATGTGGAACCTGGGACTGGCAGGATAGGTAGATGAGGTATAAAGAAATGTCTCTCTCGTTTGGGCAATACTCCTATCCTTGTGAGCTCTTCACCAAGAGTGAACTTTGGGCATCTGAGGTAGGAACAACACGCACAGTAGCAGGCTGTAATAAAGCTAAGTACCAAAAGGGCAAACCGGAATCAGTACAAAATGACTTCTCTGCTCTATAGGATACTCCTGGGATACTCAGATCTAATATGACACAATAATGACAATGTCCCAATATTTGCTCTAATTCACTAGTTGAACAACAATGAAATGCCCAAAGTTTTAGCTAAATGCCTGATAATATATCACGATGACACTTACCTGTATAAAAAAACAGTAAAAAAATTAACAATTCTGAAAACTCTGGACTTTTTAACTCAAAATACAAAACAGAATATATTTTACATGTTGATGTATATGATGTATATGTGCTATAAGACTGAGTGAGTCATTCTGACTAAATGAAGGTCTCAAATATGAAATCCAAAGTCCTTCCTGACAAAGCAAGACACTGCTCCAATCTACTTCATGGCATGAGCTTTGGCACAGACACCTAACTGAAAGAGATTATTAATGATCACAGGTGAAAATCAATAGCAACTCATACCACAACCATATCCTGAAAAATAAAATGGAAAGGCAATATTGATTGCAATATCTATCAAAGAATAAAATATATAGGTCTCTTTCTAGAGCAACATTCTAGGAACCAAATAAAGTATAAAAATCTGGACATAATTTTTAACATCTTACTTTGTAAGATACTGAGGTTAGTAGGTGAGCAATATTCTGAACTGCACCATGGTTAAATAAAATTGTTTGATGATCTGGACCCTGCAAGGAAAAAGAATACAGTACTATATTAAGAAGAGCAATGATTCATTCCAGTAAAACATTTACTTAAACATAGAAAACCATGCTCAATTCAATGCAGAATTCTCAGTTACCTTTCTCTTGCATAAACACATTCCCTAAAAAGCAAGGTAGACACTGTTTTTAGTCTTGCAAGGGGCTACCATATCTTACCTCATCCTAGTTCTGTAAAATTATTGCTTCCTTGCCTCCTACAAACAAGGAAGGGGACACAGAGCTATCCTGGCACAGGCCCCCTGCAATTCTTAAATAGACGCTATCACAGCAACAGAACTACTATGAATTTTGCATTTCATGTGCACACCCTCACCCACAATGGGAGTCATTCTTACAACTTAAGACTGATGAACTAGTGAGGAGATTTCTAAAACTAAATAATTACAGGAAGAACTGGAGCAGGGACTAACCGATCTCAACACATCAGAAAGTTTGAGCAATGGATGGTGGGAAACACAATACTCCATAACTGAGAAGTGAACAACATGTTTTGGTTTCTGTTTCTATCTCATTTCTCTTCTTAGAATTACTACTTCTTGTTGTATGTCATGCTTATCATTATTCAGAAGAGAAAAATGGAGCACTGAAAGGTAGATTACCTGTCTCGGTGTACACAGGAAACCAGATACTAGTCTGGAGAAAGAGCTCTCAGACCAATTTCTCCAACCCACTATTCAGCCAAGTAACAACTATTCTAAGGTGCTCATTCCTTCTTACACCAAAATACCCATCATCCGAAGTGGGGAGATTAGCATTCATACTTCTGAACAACAAAACAGCTGCATTCTGTTTTATGAATAATAATCCTCTAAATATTTTATATACTATTAAAAGGGTCCTTTAAAAAAGACTTCAGCAATCTCTTAATTTCTATATATTTTCTAACTTCTAATTTCTTATTTTTAATCTATAGTATGTGATATTCCACAGTTTACTCAGACAAACCCCAATTACGTATATTAGGTAGTTTTTAATGTCTTACTTTTATAAGCAATGTTTTGTTGAATTTTATTAAAGCTGTATCTCATTGAAGATCCTTAGGGAATGGGGATAAATTTCCAGAGTACAATTGCTTGATACATTTACCACTGTATTTCCATCCAGGAAAGTGCAAATTTGCCCTTATAATTGAAAATAGTGACATTCTTAGGACCGGCTGAAAGTGTGCTCTGTCTTCCTACCTCATCCTCATCCCTGCATCCGCAATTATAATTACAGGCACTACTAATTTACTTGCTATGTGCTAGGCACTGCTCTAAATGCTTTACTTTGAACTATCTTGTTTGAAACACTGGAGAATCTGGCTGATTCATTATAAAGATAGTGGTGGAAGCAAAATAGAGACAGACTCATAGAGAGCAGGCTGACAGTTCTGGAGGAGGGGGCAATGAGGGTATGGAGGGATCGAGCAAGTAAGAAAAAAGAAAGGAAAAATTCATGAGTACGGACGAAAGTGTGGTGATTACGGAAGGGGAGAAGGGATGGAAATGAAAGAGGGGATGGGGGGGGATAAGTGGTGATGGAAAAAAATACAATAAAAAATAATAGAAAATAAAAAGGTAGCGGTGGAGATTGTAATGGGGGAGCCAAGAAAAAGAAGAGTCTCTTAAGAATCTGAGCCATTTTCTTTTCTTACCTAGTAACAAATAAGTAACTAGAATGAACTGTGAAGATGAGCCTAAATTAGCCTTGGCTGACATGCCAGAATACTAAAATTTTTTTGCCTCCTTTACAAATTTTAACACCCCAATTTAAATGCTGACAGTGCTTGTAGAATAGCTAAGTAGGCAGGGTTTTGCCTCTGTCCCTTGCACCTCACTGTTTTTCTACCTATGTATTCAGCCAATCTGTTCCCCTGTTTTGACGTGACCTATTATTAATAGAATTTTTATATTCATCAAGACATTTTATATTTATACAAATAAATAAGTACATTCTTTCCCATTTTAACACAAATGGTAGAATACTATGTATAATTAAGATACACTATATATAAAGTATTTATATATAGTACTAGATAAATTATATATTACCTTAAATCTTTTATATGTTTATAATATATCTCAGAGAACATTCATATCAGTACATAAAGAGCTTTCTCATTTCTTTTTTTGTTCTTTTTGGCCTTATTCCATTGTATGAATGCCCCATACTTTTACTAGTACCCTATAGTTAAGGCATTTAGGTTGTTTTCAGTCTTTTACTATCACAAACGTCATGCCAATGAATATCCATGTGCAAGCATCTTCCCTTCCCCTGAAGAGCTGGGTCACTTATGGAATATCTTTACTGATGGAGTTATGTTTATAAATGACAAGATCAAGCACAATGCAATTCTCTGAACACAGCTGTTCCCCACTGCTAACAAGATGAACTGTACTTTTTTAATCCCTCAAATTCTTTGCCCAAAAGATTGCGGCAAATATTTGTTACAAAAGATCTTTCTCTTCCCTGTGGCTTCAGGCAGGATTGTGTAAAAACAACTGCAAGGAAGGAATTAGTGGCTGTACCAACTAGAGAGGAGGAGCTGTTGTTTGATTCTTACTAAGTCTCTCTAGTCTCTCCAATCAGCCTGCAGGAACCTAGGGTTATGAAGGCAGCATTCACAGAGGGTATGAGGCACATAAGCCCTCATGATCATAAACTCCAAAAGACAGGTTTCAGAAATTTCAGTAACTGCTTAAGAAGTGACAACAATTTAGAATTTAGAGCTCCAATTAACATTATTATTAGCCTTTTTTTGCTTCTTAAGAAATCAGGAAGAGAAATACAGTACACAAATACTTTAGTAACTTTCCTCTTTTTCTGTCTCCTCTCCCCAAATTATGTAAATTTACTTAATATTTATAGGAGTATAAGTAAATCTGTGAATGAGTTTTAAAATTCTATTATGACTCTTACATATAAACTCAACAAAAAGGAAATAACATGTTTTTGTAATAATGACAATACAGAAATCATCAGATCAATTGTTTCATAGACATATATTGTTAGTATGTCAGCAGAGAAATTAATATTGTATTTTAGGCTATTTCTATTGCCACTGAGTTTATAAATGCTATAATGTTTCCTGAGGTCTAGTTATATCTCAGAACAATTGAATCTGGTCATTTAATTACAGCGGCAAATGCTCCTATCAGGCTAAAAGAAGGCTGAATTAAGATTTTCTCTGTTATGTTTAGTTCTATTAGTGGCAGAAGGGTGCCTGTAAATTCCTTCTCAGCCGAAGTTTCTTTCCAGCACAAGAACTAGTGATTTAACGGTATTCTTTTATTTATGATTTCAGCTAAAACAGCACTGAGAAGTTCCAGATGAGCAAGCCTAAAAGTGGTAAGGTTTCTTTCTTTTTTAAAAATATTTATTTATTTTTAGAGAGCAGAAGGGAGGGAGAAAGACAGAGCAGAAACATTGATGTGTGAGAGATACATCAATCGGTTGCCTCTCGTATGTTCCCAACTGGGGACCTGGCCCACAACCCAGGCACGTGCCCTGACTGGGAATCAAACTGGCAACCCTTTGGTTCGCAGGCTGACACTCAATCCACTGAGCCACACCTGCCAGGGCAGAAATTTCTAATGAATAATACTAAAAGTGATTTGGATAATTTCAGAAATGGGATTTTTCAAACTTCTCATAATTTAACATAATTTGACACGTAGTAGTTACATACATCCAGGTCCAATTTTCAGTGCCCTTTTGGGATTACCATACTTGTAACTAGTATATGCTGTGTTCTCAAGCACTTAGGTATAGATGCTCAGAGATTTTTATTGATGCATAGAGTTCTGGAGTATTCTTTTCTACCTGGCAGGGCTGGCTACAAGACGCCATTTCATTGTTGGAAGATTCTAGACCCTGTTGGTTTACCTCATTTTTAGTAAATGAATTGCAACAAAAACAATGCTTTCTCAAAGCCTTTCTTTTTTGCCCACCTCAGAAGATTAAGAGATCATTTGACATCCCTGGTTCTATGAGTCAGTTTATACATTGTTAGAGCAATCTGAGAAGAGAAACCTGAAAGATTTTTGACAAAAATCTTAAATTCCAAACATCTTAAATAGAATTATATAGGCTGTGATAGTCCTCTAAAATTTGAGAAGTAGTTTAAACATTTAAATTATAATCAATAGATAATTTTCCTAGTGTAAAATTATTTAATTTTCACTTATCTGGGAAACTGTTCTAAAATATCTGTGATCTTCCTAGTTTAATATACAGGCATTCACTTCTCTCTCCCTTCTTTCTTACAGTTCCTCAAACTACTCGTTTAATATTTGTATTATAAATGATAGGTGAGTAATGTCCTAAAAAACTTAAAGAATCTTCAGATGATAAACTATTTCGTTAGAAGTTAGCAAATGCATAGAAATTATGAAAGCTCTTAAATAGTCACCCATTGTTATCGAAAGAAAAACAATGTGTAAACTATGAAGCAGAATACCCCTTAGTGCTTCATAGCACTCTTCAGATTGGGTTCAGGCCCTTTTAATAACAGAAATTTACTCAACAAAGAGCTGAAGAACCTCTCAGTTCTCCTTGAATAAGATCACTTCAAGTAATTTCCAACAATGTAAAAACTGAGGGTGTGGGGAAACAGTCAAGATCACACAGTGCTGGTAGGAATATAAAACAGGACAACCTCTATACAAGACAGACAACATACGGTAAAGTTACAAATGCACACACTCTTTGATTCAGCAATTCCAGTTCTTATAAAATATCTTACACACAAGGTATTTGTTGCAGCATTGTTCTGTAACCATATAAGAAAGGAAACAAGCTAAATGCCCAACAACAGAGGACTGGTTAAATAAGTTACTGTACATCTATACAGTAAAATACTACTTTTACTGTTTATAGAAAATGAATGAGGGAGCTCCTTATGCACTGATATGGAATAGCCTTCAAAATATGTTAAGTAAAAAAATGCAAGGAGTAGAAAGAACGTATGGTATACTTTGATTTATGTCAAAAAAAAAGGGGGAAGGGGATAAATACATAGGTCTGCTTATATGTATAGATTGTCTCTGAGAGGATACACAGAGAAGGCACATCTCCTGAAGGTATATAAAGTTTTACACTACAGAGAATATTTATTCTGGTTCTTACTTTACAGCAGTGCGAGAAGATCTGACAGATGTACTCCTGGGTGTAGCGGGACCTGCTAAGCAGTGCCATGAGGTGTGGTATCACCGTAGCATCCTGGAGTTGAAGAGAAGGAGAGCACAGCAACAAGGAACTTAGACACTGTGGAGTACATCTAACACCCTGTTTCCATGAGTAGGTACTCATGCAAGCCTCTTAATGACAGTAAATCAAGTCTACTTAAGGAACGAAGGAAAACAAAAGCAACATAGCCATCAAAACTGTCTGGGCAAAGAAAAAGGAGAAGGGCTTTAATATTCAACCTCAATAAGAACAGAAAATTCTCAATTTCTTTCCCATAAATAGCCTTCATCCCACAATAAAATCATTTTAGTAAGACTTGACAGAAATCTGTTCTGAAATCCAACTGTGAGGTAACTAGTAAGATATACAATAATAGATAGCTTCTAGGGAGGAATTAGTGTATAAAAATAAAACTTGGCAATTAGGATCCCTGAGATGTTATGGTAAGTATCAGTAATCAGTAACAATCTCTCATAATGACTACAGTTAGCTAATTTCAATTGTCACAAGAGCAACTTCTCACCTATAGCATACTCTGTACCTACTGCTGACACTTAACATACATGATGGTATAGAAGACAAGAAGAATCCACCCAGCATCCTGCAAGTCTCTCAAAAATCTTTTTTTTTCCTCCTCAGAATGAGAAAGGAATTAAAAGTTGAAAGGATATTTGAAATGAACCACAGGTGGAAAGGAGACTACACTCAAGCATCCTTGCCAATGCTGTCAAGAGTCCTAGAGCTATGCTTCTCATGGATGAATGTGCATGCAAATTCCAAGAAGAAACTTTGGTGTGCACATTATGACCCTGTCGGTCTGGAGTAGGACCTAAGATCGTGCATTCTAACTAGCTCCCAAATGACTAGTGCTGGTCCATAAATCACACTTTGACAACAGAAAACAGAAGGCAAGGAAGAAAACTTAAAGAAAAGAATGCCCAAGATATATAAAAACTAAGTAGAAAAAGAGAAGGCTGTTGGTTCGCATGTAGAATCTTTCCCCCTTGCTTGTTAGTACAACCCTTCTGTGTTGTCACAGTTTAAAAACAAAATGAAAAACATACAAAACCTCAAAGAAAGTCAAGTACTAAATGCAAAGAAAGAAAAGAAAGAGTGCCCTGACTGGTGTTGCTCAGTGGGTTAGGCAACATCCCATGAACCGAAAGGTCACCGGTTCAATTCCCTGTCAGGGCACATGCTTGGGTTACAGGCCAGGTTCCTGTTTGGGGTGTGCAAGAAGCAATCGATTAATGATTCTCTTGCACATTAATGTTTCTCTCCCTGTGTTTCTCCCTCCCTTCGCCTCTCTCTAAAAAAATAAATAAATAAATAAGTAAATAAAATCTTTAAAAAGAAAAGAGAGAAGCTAAGGGCTGGAAGCAGAAGATGGGGATGTGGGTAGCAGATAAGATAGATCAGGCAATCCAGAGGAAGACAAAAAAAGCCTCTTATAGGCTTCTGAAACCGCTCCCACATGCTTCCTTTCCTCCATTGCTCTCTTATCTCTTAGTTTTCCTGTTACAACAACCGCTATGCTGTTTCTTCACACCTACCTTTTTCTGCCAGTTCTGTTATATATCTGCAGTTTATAGTTGAGTAAATGGGAGAAGAATAGTTACATAATTTGCCCATTGGATAAATGGAATTTCAAACTAGACATCCTGCCCTTTTCTAATTCGACCGCTGTCTTTAGTTTAGTGCCTGAGTTACCGCCACAGCTGGCCTCTTCACTATCCAACTTACAAACTTTCAATTACACTGAAAAACTACTCTCTGTCATTATTCTACCCAAAACTTTTCACGGATTCTCCATTGTCTCTGCGGCATACAACTGAGGTGCTTCACCCTGGCAGGGTTGCTCAGTTGGCTGGAGCATCAGCCCGTGCACCAAAAGGTTACAGGTACAATCTCTAGTCAGGGCACCTACCTAGGTTGTGGGTTCAATCCTTGGTTGGGGCGTGTAAGGGAGGCTACCAATCAATGTTTCTCTCTCTCACTCATTCTCTCCCCCGCCCCTTCCTCTTGCTCTAAAATCAATAAAGATATCCTTGGGTGAGGATTAAAAAAAATAGGAAAAAAATTGAGATTTTTCATAATTTATATGCTCTTAATGTGAAAGTCACTCAATGTCCAAGTCTTAAGTTTTCTTATGTAAAAAAATTAAGTTGGTGTTGACCAGAGTCTTCCAAGTTATGCACCATGATTCAGTAGTGAGTTATGAAATCAGTTTAGAGTGTGGGGAGGAAGAAATAAAACAGCTAGCCAGGATAAATTTTTCCCTCTATTATTGGGCTGGGGGTTTGGAGGAAACGTCTAGGGGAGTGATTTTCAAACTTTTTCATCCCATGGCACACATAAACTAATTATTAAAATTCCTTAGCACATGCAAAAATTTATTTTTTACCAATCTGACCCCCCAAAAAAGGTATAATTTTGATTCATTCACACCAGATGGCTACTGTTGTGTTGGCTGTCATTTTTCTATTTGACAATCTAAGGGAGAAGAGGTCAGTGCCCCTGATGAAATAGGCAGGTACTGCATGTTTTAAAAAATTCTTGAGGCACAACACTGTGCCTCTTGAGGCACACGGGTTGAAAATCGTTGTTCTAGGGTAAAGGCTAGTGACTATTTAACCTCTGTAAACAAGACAATAGGCACTTAGGAAAACAAACTGGTATTTACTAGGCAGAGAGTCCTGTGGAATGCTTTGAGGAGAATGTTACCAATTTATGGCTGCTTATAGTACCAGTGGGTTCTCAAAGAGTGGTCCAAGGACCAGCAGAATCTAAGCTACTTGTTAGAAATCCAAATTCTCAGGCCCCACTCCAGACTCAGTGAATTAGAAACTCTACAGGTAAGGTCCAGCAATCTGTGTTTAACAAGCCCTCCAGGCAATTCTGGTGCACGCTAAAGTTTGAGAACCACTGTAGTAAACAATTTACAGACTTATGAGGCGTGGCTCCCTGAAGAATGTCACCCAAATCCCTGACGTATAAAATTGAGATGCTTCTTGATTTAGAGCCTCCCTGCTGTATGAGGTGACTTATAAACCTCCCTTACGATACTTATATATCATTGCCAGCCAGAGGAACATGTGTCTGATGTGGGAATCACAGATTATGAAGCCACGTGACATGTACTCCCTGATTGTTTTGCCTATGCCTCTGGATTACTTATGGTCTTAAAATATTTGTAAAGCATGATTCTGGGCAAGAGCTCTGATTCATATGTGTTCTATTTGACATTCTGATTCTTTGTGTTAGCTCAAAGAATCACAACCAGCATCTTTTAAAAATGAAAAAGGATATAATAGAAATCAGAGGGCATCACTTTTATGGAACTATTTTGTGAAGACTGCCTCAGGATTCTCTCATTCTTACTCTGTCTCACACACAAATTTCACAAATGTGCATAGTATGACAATGGAAAATACATTTCTTATTGTGGATCATGGATAAAAGTATTTGAAAAATTCTGGTCTGGATAATTTTCATTAAAAAAGCCCCAAGGTATCAACAGATAAAAATACTCACCCCTCCCCTGACCCCCAATAAACCCTGAGGTTTGTGAAAACTACTGAATGATTCCAAAGACCTTTGGATTCTCTCACACGTGATTCTAGCTTGCAAGTCAGCCTCTTGCAAGCTGATTCTGCTTCACCTCTCCAACTGCAGCTCACACTCATGCCCTTCCCACATTACACTATCCTGCCCACAATCCTGCATATTCTCTTACACAGATCTTTCCTAGACTGGCCTCTTTACTCTCTTAATCTTATCCATTATTAAAGACCTCAGTCAAATTCTAAGTTCTTTATAACGTTTTCTCTGCTGGGTTTCGCCTAGAGTGAAGAGAACTCCCTATCATTCATTTAGCATTAAATATATTGCCTTAATTTGTATATACTACAGAGAGCAAAATGGGTCTTTAAAAAAGAAAGCTTATAAATTCCTCAAGTTCTGAGACTATCTTTCTCTTCTTTATACAGCCTAGATCATTTGAAATTTGTAAATTAGCAAGAACTCAAGTACTTCTCAAGATTTTTTTAATAACACAGCTGAGTCTTGAGATGCTAAGTAAATTAGAAGATGTTAGTGAAATGTAACAGATGATTCAAAAATATCTACAACTCACTGTATACAATAACTCCTCCGGAGTGACGGGACTGGTGAAGACGGTGCGCAGGCATCGGAGGCAAGCTTCAATGAACTTCAGGTCTGGGGACAACAGTCCTGTCAATAGAAAATAGATTTGAGACTCAGCTTTTCAACCCAAATTTAACATTGCAAACTGATTCTAATTTTTACTTGTATAAAAATGACTTCCCTACATACCTTGCAGTAAGGCAGGGATAATATGGCAATCTAGTAGAGACTTGACATTGTTTTCAGTACCCATAGCAAGACTTCCCAATACCACTGCACATTCAGTTTTCAGCTCTGTACTTGAGGTTTCTTGCTGAAGCAAGTACAACAATCTAAAAAGAATGAACTTGATAAACAGAAAAGACTAAAACCTTAAAAGTAAATTAGCTAAAAGTAACGTGACAGAAAAAGGCAACCAATACATTTCACTGCACATACTAAAAATGCGGTTGGCAAGCTCATGAAGGGTAAGAAATGGCCACTTGTTTTATTAGCTACTAATTCAATAAAGCAATATCTGGGGAAAATCTAAAAGAGGTTTTTCTTCATTTTGAGCAAAAGAACTATCATATAATCTCAAGAGTTTATCAGAACTCTAAATCTGAAAGTTGTCCAAGGTGGCCTCTATAGAAACAGCAACATCACAGGTCCATGTTATCTGCCACTTCAGAATATGAAGACAACCAATGCCAAGTGCTGCTGGGTCTTCCATTCAGACTAGAAATTGACCTTAAATAACCACAGCTATAGTTCAGAGATCACAGAGGTGTAATCTAGAGGGATTATTCAGAGTCCTTGTGCAGCTCTTCGAGCAAGGTAAGCTCTCTTCTTTTTCCAATTCTCCCATTTGGGGAGTCAGGGGATCCTCCCATTTCCATTCCAACCCAGCATGCCAAATAACAACTCTCCAAATTCTAATCATCCACCACTTATGACTACCTCCCTTATTCTAAGACAGAACTCTCATGCCCCCTAAATTTAGCATACTTATCTACTGAACACTAACTCCCTAAAAAAGGCTACTGACTGCTTTATGGTTACCGAAGTGTATCTTTCAAGCTGGTTATGATAAAAAAAAAAATACAACCATTAATCCCATATCAAAAGATAAAAAAACAGAAAAAAAATATTTTAAAATGCTATATGAAAAACTTACAGCAACTGCACATAAAACTTAGTTTTGAGTAGCAAAGGCAAATAGGAAGCTATACAACTGACATTATCCACCAATAGGAAGCTTATTAGGTCATCAGAAGAAACAAAACTTTCTGTTAACTTAAAAATAGCAAATTTTTAAAATTAGAAATTAAATAAAGAAAAGCAGCATTAAAAACCAACCAAGCCTCTCTCTCTCTCTCTCTCACTCTTTCTCTTTTTTCAAATTCACAAAAAGATTTGCAGAGTCCTGAGAAATTGTTATCCAATCATACAAAAACTGCCAGAGCTATGAATAGACAGTAAAGAATGAATCAGGCTGTTGCAACACACTGTTTTACTTCAGGGTCAATGATCCTGAATTTCTAAAAAGTATTCATACATTCACTTCATAGACCATTCTCTGGTACTTTGATTTGTTTTGTTTCTTACAAATGTTTCGTATAACTCATGGAATTTATTTAAAAAATTAAGAAGCTTTTCAAAAATAGGATAGGAAATACAAGAAAAAGATCATTCTTGTGGTTGAGAATGAGAAATATATTAGAATTAGTATGAATAGCAGAAAAGGAAATGATAGCAAACATACCTTGGAACAGCTCCTAAAACAATGAGGTTGGCTTTCTGCTTGTTGTTTCCAATTACAGCATTTTTCATGTCTCTGAATTCAGGGGAAGAGAAAAGGGTACGGTATGTT